ACTGGATGTTGAAAGCCCTGATGAGTCAAGGATGTTAGAGTATTTCTTCAGTAACAGAGTTGTTAGGAAGTAGAACAATCTGGAGAGTGACGAAGTGGAGGCAAAATCTATACATAGCTTTAAGAGGTACGAGAAAGCTCTTGGAGCAGGGAGAGGGGACCTAGTAGCGACCAGAGCGAAGTAGAGGGACCAGGAGCTACGAATCGACCCCTGCAATCACACACAGGTGAGTACACACACACGCACAAAAAAATGCATAAATTTGACATGTGAAGCGTTTGGAAATTTTTAATAGGATACACGTCACTCACCAAGCTTTTTTTTCAATCCTGATGAGCAAAACGTATCCTTAAAAGTTTCCAAACGTTGAACGTGTCTTAATTTATACAATAATCAGTCAAGTGATACCGGGGTAAAGGTAGACACAAAACAGTTCGGAGATTCCCTGAACAGTGTCAATATTAGTTGTGCAAGATTTAAACCTAATGAAAACGAAAAGAGGTTGAGTTCTACGAATGTAGACTAGTGGTTCATGAGGCTTGGGCCAGATCAGCTGCGCTATGAAGGTCTCACAAACTTGCCAGTACTGATCAGTAATGGCGTGCCGGGTGAAGTAATCTTCGGAGATCCTAACATCAAACTGCGCGAGTGAAAAAAAAAAAAAACTTAACTGGCCACAGCAAAATGTATAGTACCTCGTAGCTCAATTGTAGCGAGGTCAGATCACATTAACTAATGTGTCCGGATCGAATCCTGCCTGAAAGACACTAATGGACAGGCCTGCTAACACCTGTTTGCTGTCCTGCTACATACCAGTTAATACATACATGCGTCCAGTCTCGAGGGTTATTCTACCCTGACAGCTCGGCCTGGGTGCAAGTTTCCCTACTGACCGTTTGGTCAACCAGGCTGTTGGTACTAACAGTCCACAGACCTACAACCATCACAACTTGACTGGTCAAGCACTTTCAGGAGATATTGGTTCAGTTTCCTCTTTAAATCTACTAACTTCGTCCCAGTAACATTTGTGAACTCCAGGAAGTAGGTTGAAGAGCCTAGGTCCATGGCTGTTAAAAAAGTATTACCAACTTTGCTAACGGTGCCTTACTTTCCACTGGGTTTACTCTATGCTTTCTTGTACGTACATCTTCTCTCCCAGTAAGTCGATACCTAACGGTTAGTAGACTTGTTCTGGGTAGTGTTTTGAAAGTACTTTAAAAGTACTCCAATAGAAACATTAAGTAACATTGCTTGACTCTCTGGTTGTCTTTATTTTTTGACCCTCAGGGGTTTCTAATAATAATAATAAAATCTTTATTTCCTACAAGTGCATGTACAAGGTATACAGGCCTAGCTGACACAGATGACATACTACTATATAGAAAAGCCGCTTGTTATGCAGAGCATTACCGGCAAATTAGATCAATTTTGTCCCAGGATGCGACCCGCACCAGTCGGCTAACACTCGGGTACCCACTTTATTGATGGGTGAACATAAACAACCGGTGTAAGGAAACACGCCCAATGTTTCTACCCTTGCCGGGAATCGAACCCAGACAATCACCGTGTGAAGCGAGAGCTTTTGCCACCAGGCCACTGATGCTGGTTTGGAATCTACAGTAAATCCCAGCAGAACACCACGAAATTTATACACAGCAGCCGAGGTTAGATTTCTAACAATATATATCATGTGTGTGCAATAACTTAATACAACTTAACGGACTGTACTATAAGCGATTCTGTTTACCACAGATTGAAAAGTAGTCACAGACTACGCTGGAGTATAATAATTAACGAGCAAAAGTGTGAGGAGACTTCCGGAATGAATAGGGGTTGGAGTCTACCTACAGATTTAAAGTGTAGAACCCATACTTTAAAAACGTTTATCTGGCGAGGGAATGGCGAAGGGTACGAACGAAAAGTATAAATAATGAAGCTATAAATAATGTGCTGAAAATATTTAATCAAGGCACAACTGGCAGCAATGGATTAGTTGGGTAGATTTACATTGTTTTGGATGAGTGAAAAACTACCATGGAGTATACGAATACAAGTGACAATAAGAATGGGATGCGAGTAAGACTCGTCTTGCCTAGGCCTGTAGGCCTGCTGCAAGGCTCCTATACTCCCGCATTCTTATCTATTTAACAGTATCTTTGAGTTGTCACACTACGTTGTTACATTTATCATCAAGTCTTTGATAATTCTGGGATTAGATTTTGAAACACTAAACCTGTATGGTAATTTGAAGGTGGTGAACGCAGATCCTATCTTCAAATTCAAATTCAATTCGAAGTTTATTCTCTATAAGGATTACAATGCTGAGTTTACAGAATTTGGTTATTGTGTGGTTTACATGTAGTAAAATAATAATTACAGTGTACCACTAGAACACCTAGCATGGCTAGGCATTTCGGGCAGACTTATATTAAATCTTAAGTTTAAAATATTACAAAATTATGAGGTAAGTTGGTATTATGGCTAAGTGCCTAAATACTAGTTGTGAGTTTAGCAATGTGAATGCTTTTGTTTTGGCACTATACATAGTTTCAGTATTGGAGTATCACAGGCCAACTTATGACTAGTTAAGATTCATTATTCTGTTTATGGTCAATGGGTTTGTGTAAGTGTGAACCACCAGGTGGTATTCGTATTATTAGTTGAACAGGGTGTATCAGGGAATAAGATGTTTTTGATGGTAGTTTTGAAGGTGATGAATGTGTCTGCAGTTTGGAATTTTCAGGAGGTTTCCCAAATTTGGGGTTTGACTACATTGAATTTTTGTAAAGGTTTAGTCGACACAGGGAAAGTCATAGAGATGTTTGTGTTGGTGTTGTGCCGAGGGTTCTGTCAACTATCCACTTCATCTTGTACTCCCCCCCACCCCAAGACAAAACAAACTGGCTTTAAAGAGGCGTGCTTGTGTTAGGTTTTACCTAATTAATCAAATGTCACTCAGCCGATTCATAAACCTGTTTGTTTACTTAAACTCCTGCCGAAAATTAAAAAATATGCATTTTTAAATGTTACTATATAAGGGACCAACTATGAATTATGTCTCACAATAACATACACAATTCTGGGTTTGGTTTGTACGTTGCAATTAAATCGACCCCTTTAAAATTTAAAAACTATTTTAAAAATATGTTTACGACATATTTTGACCTTCCATATCGAGAAATTCCCCAAATCCCAACGGAGATACCAAGTACTCTATTAGGGCCGGGTGTTTTTATAAGGTTCTCTTGCGAGCACATTATTATAAAAAAAGAACGCTACACGTATCAAAAATTAGGAAAAAGTAATTATTGTACAATTGCTATGGATCCCATCACACATTGGATTACCCTTCATGAAAAGTTGATATGTAGCAAGAAAGTATCCAGAAGGAAACGTGAATATAACCTTGTATAACTGGCTAGCATAGGAATAATATTAGGGAGAAGTAAATAAGAGATGTTTTGTTATAGAATGCGTTAAAGCCTGAGTAGATCTTTAACCCCAAAATGAAACAGAACAGATAAGTATTTTTGGCAACTTGAAATGTGAACAGACGACTGTGTTTGTAAGTGGCAGGCTTACTTGGTTACAAGTACTTCTGGCGTTTGGGAGACACACAGATGATAAAACTAAATGTAAATTATGTGATCAGCATATGGTCACCTTGAACACTAATGTGTCTTAATTGTCCCACTTATTGAGGAATACAGAGACAGACAGTATAATAACCTATGTACATGTAAAATATCTTATTAATAAAAATAAGTACAGATATACTAAGCAATTTCCTAAATTTGCTTGTAACAGTAATGAACTTAAGAATTTTAATATAAACCATATGATTCCTGTTAACCCTTTGGGCCTAGTTCCTAGGCCTTTTGTGTATCCATATGCTCTCGCGCTACCGTCCACAGGATGGATATGGGGTGCACAATAAACTAGCCACTTCGGTGGCAAAATCTAAAAGAAAATCTAAATCTAAACCATAAGGGCTATACAGCGCTGCTTGCTGGGCTACAGTGATGTTACATTACTAAGTACTCTTGCTGTGATGCTACTAAACTTCAAGAACTTTAATGATGTGATATTAACCACGCTTTCCTCAACTTTGATGCTGTGATATCAAGCTCTTTCCTAACCTTTAATGTGATATCAAGCTCTTACCTAACCTTTAATGTGATATCAAGCTCTTACCTAACCTTTAATGTGATATCAAGCTCTTTCCTAACCTTTAATGTGATATCAAGCTCTTACCTAACCTTTAATGTGATATCAAGCTCTTACCTAACCTTTAATGTGATATCAAGCTCTTTCCTAACCTTTAATGTGATATCAAGCTCTTACCTAACCTTTAATGTGATATCAAGCTCTTTCCTAACCTTTAATGTGATATCAAGCTCTTTCCTAACCTTTAATGTGATATCAAGCTCTTTCTTAACCTTTAATGTGATATCAAGCTCTTTCCTAACCTTTAATGCTGCGATATTAAGCTTCCATGCTTATATTAAACTTTTTCCTGAGCTTAATGCTTATATGCAGCACACTTTCCTGAACGTCAGTGCCCATGACACTCTAGCTGAGCTCCGATGATGTGATACGAAGTACTCTGGTATCACTGTAATAATGATGTACAATATTATCAGTCTCCTCAGTTGGCCTTTGGGCTGAGGGACTGATTACCTCATCTTCCACTGTCTGTGCATTTCTTAGTATTGAAATCAAAATGCCACTGGTTTGTAAAACGTCTCTGATCAGGTGTTGCAGGTGACTTAATTCCTTATTCTGGGTTCCAACAAAGCTTGAATATCATATATTAATGTTACAATGACACCTTAAAGTGTTATTCTACATCTACAGAAGTGAATGCAGTGAAAACTACAAAATGTGATTACTTAACTAAAGTACCTTGACGACAGTTTACAAGATGAATAGAGTAAGTGTCGCATGATGCGAGATGACTATCCAACAAGCTGACAATACTAATTTGGACAGCAACTTGCCTTAGAGACGTTGATAATCCGTCACAGCATGAAGTTATTCAACACAACATTAGCAAGGTATCCAAAGACGGTATGGTCTTGTTGATTTCTAGTGTTCACCTTATGCGGTAAATATATTTATCCTCCTGGTTTAGATGGTAAGTCACATCAACACTTCTCTTATGTGATGTAGTACAGTAACAAGTCACAAAATACTAGAGAAGCGCACGTACACTACCCCTTAAACTGTGTTGGTCTACTACTGAGACACTCGTCCTGTGTTGTGCTGCCGCTGCCGAGTGCATTTACCCCCTGAACATATTGTACAAAAACATTGCATTATTCATACAGCTTTGTAAAACTGAGCTCGTTCTTTTCACCTTCTTTTCGGGTTAGATTAATGAAGTATATTATATAATTATTTCAAATTAGTTAGCACTACGAATAACTAAACAAAGTAGGGAATGGTTGTAGGTCTGGCAGGAGTGTGTAGCGGCGTCAGGCAGCACCTGACAAGGTGTGCTAGGCTGGTTAATTTTAAGATGTTTATCACCTTAAAAACTACTACGTGTACTGAGGGTAATAGTCGTGTATTTATCAGATAATGTGGAAACATCAGCTTTCATTATTAAACTGCATTTCCCCCCGTACACATTAATTACCGAGGATCGTAAGGCAGTATTAATCAGATAATCTGATTACATGTTGTGTTCTGTCGAGCATCAAGAGCTAGACATACATACATACATACATACATACATACATACAACATACATAACATAATATATATATATATATATTATATATATATATATATATATATATATATATATATATATATATATTGTGTGTGTGTGTGTGTGTGTGTGTGTGTGTGTGTGTGTGTGTGTGTGTGTGTGTGTACTCACCTAATTCACCTAATTGTGGTTGCAGGGGTCGAGACTCAGCTCCTGGCCCCGCCTCTTCACTGATCACTACTGGGTCCTCTCTCTCTCTGCTTCCTGAGCTTTGTCATACCTCTTCTTAAAACTATGTATGGTTCCTGCCTCCACTACTTCACTTGCTAGGCTATTCCATTTGCTGACAACTCTATGACGGAAGAAATACTTCCTAACGTCCCTGTGACTCGTCTGAGTCTTCAGCTTCCAGTTGTGACCCCTTGTCCCTGTGTCCCCTCTCTGGAACATCCTATCTCTGTCCACCTTGTCTGTTCCCCGCAGTATCTTGTATGTCGTTATCATGTCTCCCCTGACCCTTCTGTCCTCCAGTGTCGTCAGTCCGATTTCCCTTAACCTTTCCTCGTACGACATTCCCTTGAACTCTGGGACTAGCCTTGTTGCAAACCTTTGTACTTTCTCTAACTTCTTGACGTGCTTGACCAGGTGTGGGTTCCAGACTGGTGCTGCATACTCCAGTGTGGGCCTAACTTACACAGTGTACAGTGTCTTGAACGATTCCTTATTAAGGTATCGGAACACTATTCTCAGGTTTGCCAGGCGCCCGTATGTTGCAGCAGTTATTTGGTTGATGTGTGCCTCCGGTGATGTGCTCGGTGTTATGGGCACCCCAAGGTCTTTCTCCCTGAGTGAGGTCTGTAGTCTTTGTCCACCTAGCCTATACTCTGTCTGCGGTCTTCTTTGCCCGTCCCCAATCTTCATGACTTTGCATTTGGCTGGATTGAATTCGAGAACCCAGTTACTGGACCACATGTCCAGCCTGTCCAGGTCTCTTTGCAGTCCTGCCTCATCCTCGTCCGATTTAATTCTTCTCATCAACTTCACGTCATCTGCGAACAGGGACACTTCAGAGTCTATTCCTTCCATCATGTCGTTCACATATATCAAAAATAGCACTGGTCCTAGAACTGACCCCTGTGGGACCCCGCTCGTAACAGGCGCCCACTGTGTGTGTGTGTGTACTCACCTATTTGTGGTTGCAGGGGTCGATTCATAGCTCCTGGCCCCGCCTCTTCACTGATTGCTACTAGGTCCTCTCTCTCCCTGCTCCATGAGCTTTATCATACCTTGCCTTAAAACTATGTATGGTTCCTGCCTCCATTACGTCTCTTTCTAGGCTATTCCACGGCCTGACTACTCTATGACTGAAGAAATACTTCCTAACATCCCTTTGATTCATCTGAGTCTTCAACTTCCAATTGTGACCTCTTGTTTGTGTCCCTTCTCTGGAACATCCCGTCTTTGTCCACCTTGTCTATTCCGCGCAGTATTTTATATGTCGTTGTCATGTCTCCCCTGACCCTCCTGTCCTCCAGTGTCGTCAGGCCGATTTCCCTCAACCTTTCTTCGTAGGACAATCCCCTTAGCTCTGGGACTAGTCTTGTTGCAAACCTTTGCACTTTCTCTAATTTCTTGACGTGCTTGACCAGGTGTGGATTCCAAACTGGTGCTGCATACTCCAGTATGGGCCTGACGTAAATGGTATACAGAGTCTTGAACGATTCCTTACTGAGGTATCGGAATGCTATCCGTAGGTTTGCCAGACGCCCGTATGCTGCAGCAGTTATCTGATTGATGTGCGCCTCAGGAGATATGCTCGGTGTTATACTCACCCCCAGATCTTTTTCCTTGAGTGAGGTTTGCGGTCTTTGGCCATCTAGACTATTGTGTCTGCGGTCTTCTTTGCCCTTCCCCAATCTTCATGACTTTGCATTTGGCAGGGTTAAACTCAAGGAGCCAGTTGCTGGACCAGGCTTGTAGCCTGTCCAGGTCTCTTTGTAGTGCCTGATCCTCGTCCGATTTGATTCTTCTCATTAACTTCACATCATCTGCAAACAAGGACACTTCTGAGTCTATCCCTTCCGTTATGTAATTCACATATACCAAAAACAGCACAGGTCCTAGGACTGACCCCTGTGGAACCCCGCTTGTCACAGGCGCCCACTCTGACACCTCGTCACGTACCATGACTCGTTGTTGCCTCCCTGTCAGGTATTCTCTGATCCATTGCAGTGCCTTTCCTGTTATGTGTGTCTGATCCTCTAGCTTTTGCAGTAACCTCTTGTGAGGAACTGTGTCGAAGGCCTTCTTGCAGTCCCCAAAAAAAAACGCAGTCGATCCACCCCTCTCTCTCTTGTCTTACTTCTGTCACCTTGTCAAAAAAACTCCAGTAGGTTTGTGACACAGGATTTTCCTTCCCTGAAACTGTGCTGGTTGTCAATTATACACTTGTTTCTTTCCAGGTGCTCCACCACTCTCCTCCTGATGATCTTCTCCATGACCTTGCATACTATACACGTTAGTGATACAGGTCTGTAGTTTAGTGCCTTTTTAGACCCTTTTTTAAAAATTGGGACTACATTTGCCATCTTCCATACCTGAGGGAGTTGCCAAGTTTTAATGGATGTGTTGAAGATCTTTGTTAATGGCACACACAGCATCTCTGCTCCCTCTCTAAGGACCCACGGAGAGATGTTGTCTGGTCCCACCGCCTTTGAGGTGTCAAGTTCACTTAGCAGCTTCTTCACCTCCTCCTTGGTTACGTGTACCTCATCCTGCACTTGTTGGTGTGTGTGTGTTAGTCAGGCTTAATTTAGGAAACTGGAGCACAGATCCAATTCCCTAGATCAAGAGCCCCTCACCAGTGTCAAAGAACCTTCCTTGAGGGGATAATTTGATAATGCAAATTCTGAGCGGCTTTAATTATTATTATAATCAAAAAGAAGCGCTAAGCCACAAGGGCTATACAGCGCAGCGGCTTTGAACTTATTCCGTTGGTGTATTTTAGGATATTGACCTCTCTATGATATAATAATCAAGAAGAAGCGCTAAGCCACAAGGGCTATACAGCTCTCTTATGATAAAAGAATGCCTCTTCAGGTTGGATTCAAACCTAGTGTCCCTTAGTGGAAAGTTTGAATTAGTTTTGGGCCGTATGTCATCATTTTCCGTTCATATTAAATTTTGATATTAGTATCAGTGGTAACTTGTGAACGTCTCTTCTGATTCTTTTCAAATCTTTACTGCTAATATGCAACTGCATTTGATACTCATGCCGCACTCTGCACTATTCCTTCAGTGTGTATACAGGGAGCTAAGGTGATGCAGTTACGTTACCTTTCTCGGACTGATCAGCAATTGAAATACAGCCGATTTCTGTAAGTGCTTCTTTCAAGATTAATATTTATATTTCAATAAAGATGCTATTTGTGTATAGTCGATTTCATTTACATCCGCGAAAAAGTATTCAGATTCTTGAATCTCAGCAAGTCAAAAATTAGTTGGAAAAGTAGACACAAATACAGTATGCGATCCTTTTATTGACTACGTTCCGCCACTGTGTCGACGAAGCGTAGACAATGAAGGATCGCATTATACTGCATTTGTGTCTATTTTTCCATCGTATCGGCATTTTATACCATTTATCTCCATCAATGCTTCGTAATTGGCTTAATGATGCAATTGCAATTGCTAAGGACGAACTACTTGCCGAAAATTGACGGGCGATGTCCATAGATATTTGCATACTAAGTAGACGTCATGGAAGGTGGTTTTCAGGATAAGACAAGTGTTAGTGTTCCTGTTATTACATCACTCCAAATTAAAGCCTAAGGTTAATAAAACTCATAGATAAAACCTTATATCAAGGAATATACTAGACTACTGGAGCATAGCAATGCAAAAAGAATGTAAATATATTTAAATCAAGCTTAATTTTTAATTGTTTGTAGGGTTTCAATAAAAGTATATTTTCTTCTAAACAGCTGAAGAGACATGATAACATTACATGGTGTAGATCTGAAAGTGTTAAAACAGACATTTTCTAATTCTCTCACTGAACCAATATCACAATTTAATAAAATTAGCAGTGGGACTTAAGACAGACTAATAACTATGTATACCTTCCCTTGGGCAAAATAAACAAACAATGAAAGCCTGAAGCACGTCAGAAGAGATTTCCCAGTTATCGCACAGAAACCAATATTTTCCTATTCGTCGAGATAGGAAATTTGAGAACTGGAACCACCACATTCTAAAATTTGAGAACTGGAACCACCACATTCTAAAATTTGAGAACTGGAACCACCACATTCTAAAATTTGAGAACTGGAACCACCACATTCTAAAATTTGAGAACTGGAACCACCACATTCTAAAATTTGAGAACTGGAACCACCACATTCTAAAATTTGAGAACTGGAACCACCACATTCAAAAGATTTGAGAACTGGAACCACCACATTCTAAAATTTGAGAAATGGAACCACCACATTTCTAAAATTTGAAAAACTGGGAACCACCACATTCTAAAATT